GAGCAGTTAGATAGATAGATAGATAGAGACAGACAGACAGACAGACAGACAGACAGACAGACAGGATCAATGCACTTTCTTCACTTTGAACACACAGCTTGAGGGTCTTCCGAAGCCAGCACTTTAATAGATGGCAAGTTTGGAATGACCTCCTCAGCTGCATTCTCTGATATCTTGTGCGCTTCAGTCCTGCCTCCTGGTATCGCTAATTGCTGCCAGGCCCAAGGGGATAGATAACCCAGTAGGAAGTTGGTTTGGACACTCAAATTTAATCTCAAGCTCCAAGCCTGTGGGCGAGATACACTTTCCTTCTCTCTGGGTGAGCAAGCAAAACCAAGAAATTACCACTGGCCCTCATGACTCCTAGGATGGCCAAACTTGGAATTATTAGTAATGGTATCTGACAAAACAGGATTTCTAAATTAATTTCAGACTATGATTTAAACTTGGAATCCAGATTATTTGAAAGCCATTGCCCATAGTTAAATGCAGTTTGGGGAGCTGGTTGCAAAACAAAAGAGCCAAGCAAGAGGGAAGTGGGAGGATGAACAGAATTAATGCAATACACTCTGTGTAAGCAGAGGTTTGGCAAGCTTATCCCTTTGTCAAGAAGCAAAATCCCCAGGAAAATTATTATTTTTCAATGTTATTATAGCTCAGTGAATTGAAAGAAGGATGAATGCAGTGCTTGTATGCTGGCCCAGTTTATACACCCCCTCAACCCTGTTTGTTTACATGATGGAGTAAGCCATAATTAGCTGAGTTTGTACAACATGCTAAGTCATATGGTTTAAAAACACAAACCATAGTTTTTGTGTTAGCAATCCTCAGACCTTCTACAGATTAAGACTTGTCGAGGTTTTGAAAATAATTTGGATGAAACTAAAACCACTCCCTATAAGCTTTTTTACACATATAATGATCATGCATGTTCAGGCCACTGCTGGTTGATAAACTAACATGAACTATAACTTCATAGATCTCCCCTCTATCCAATACATATATTCTTAAAACCAGCAGTATATGAATGTTGAACTCTCAAATGTCATAAGTGACAATACCATAGGACCAGTTGTCACCTTGACAAAGTCATTTCTTCTAAATAGTTCTGAATACACTGCAATAATACTATTTTATGCAAAGTGCTGTTGGAAGACTGATTTTTTACGTATTTCTACCATCGTCTTGCCTATTTAATTCTCTCACAATCTTATAATTTTACAGTGGAAAACTTTAGGGGTAGCTCCGTAGAGTTAATCTCAAAGTTTTATGGGAAAATCTCAAACTTACTCAGAGTTTTTGCCAAGACGGTTAGAGTATGCTCCAAAACAGAAAATCAAATCTATAGCTAATGACACCATTCTAGAATTTTAATATAAAGCACCAGATCTGTTAAATATAAAGTGGTAGATTAAAAAAAAAAAGACTCGTGTTAGTTCTTATTTGTAAAATAGCGTTATTTTCTTCTGCTCTAGCTGCTACCTAAAGCATCCTTTGTTTCTTCTGAGTTTTTCTCTTTCCATAGGTTTCCGAGGATAATTCCTGTGAAAAGTAAAATTCCTAAGGTGCGATTCGAAGAAAACTTGTCCCAGCAGTCTTTAGGATTGTTAATGTCCAAATGGAGTATCTGGAAAAGAGACAAAAATGATTCATCAATACTGTCCCTATTCAAATTTTATAATCTGTCAAATCTTCCCATCCTCCTTGGATGACCTGCTATGAAATCCTTTTCCTTTTCCTTCAACTGGGTCCTTTGCTCTTGCCTCGCCTGTTCCACCATCCCTCTGCTGAACCCTGCACTGCAGCCTTGGAAATGCAGCACAAGGTTCAATCACCCCTAAACTCAGCAAGCATTTTATGGAGGCTGCAGACTAAGAGGATTAAGCATTCGGTCTTCCCACATACCGCTATAAACAAGATCTAACCTGGCTTCCTCCACAGATGGCCGCAGCTGCCACGGCGGCATAGAATGGGAAGGTCTGGCTGCAATTTATTCCTGCCACAGAAAATCCACAAAGCATTGTGGCGCTGAAGCCGAGGAGCCAGTATTTTGTCTTTTCCCCAAAGAGGAGTGCTGTAGATTTCACGCCGATGGCAAGATCATCTGTTTTATCCTAAAATAAAAAGTTGGAAAATTGTTAAATAAAAAAAAATACCAACCACAGTGGCAGTTTAGCTTGAGGAGGGGACCAAAAACATCACGCTGCCTATTTGCAGCTGTGAAGAACCTGGGTATGAAACATAAGGTCAGCACATTTTGAATTAGACAGTGGAATGTCTTGCAGAAGATTAAGAGTGGATATTTTAGGTGGGCAAAATGTTTTGTTTCAAATGTTTGGAGCGGAACAGGCTATTTTTGGGCAACCTGGAAGTGCCCCAACATCAAGGCAGCTTTGTTTCTCGTGTGAGAGATGCTCTCTACTTTTGGAATGCTCAAAATGGGATTTTTTTGCCTTTTCTGCATTCAGAAACAAAGCATTTAGTCCACCCCTAGGAGGTTTAAAGACGAGAAGAAAGTAAAATCAAAAGCTGATACCTAGTCTAAATGTTCTTATCTGTAATACTATTAGCTTTAGATACCAAGATGCTAAACACCATTACTAAGCTTATTAATATTAAATAGTTTAGTTTATATCCGTAGCTGTTTGCTTAGGACATATTATTATACAATAAGGGTTGCTTTCCGAATTCTTGTTTTTATTTTCTGTGCCCTAAGGATGTAAGATCTGGTATTTATCAGAGAATATTCAGCTATCTGCAGACCTTTTTGTGGTGTACACAATGTTACGCAGAACGCAGAAAAGAGCCAAGAAATTTGGCTTGTACTCCTGCCTGCCTGTGCTTTTCATTTTCTGTTTCTTCGTTAAATATTATTTTTGGTAAAACACTGGACTCTAAGGGACTAAATGCATCCTATTTTTTATTACATCAACATGAGATAAAATATCTCATAATATAAATCAGTGTTTCTCACCTCATTGACTTTAAGAGGTGTGGACTCCAGTTCCCAGAATTCCCCAGCCAGCATGCTGGCTGGGGAATTCTAGGAGTTGGAGCCCACACCTATGACACCAACTGAAGAATTTAGAAAGGATGTCATATTACCTGGAAACTGTATCTTGGATTACCTGGAATTGGGGTTTTTATTTCTTAAACAGAAGTAAGTTTTAATGAACTGAAAACAATTTGAAAAGGTAGAACTGCCTACAGCTCCTCTTAATGAACTCCTGATTCCTTATTCTCTCTTTTTTTAAAAGAACTTTTATTAAATTTCAGTAAAGAATAAAAAAACAAGAAGAAAGAAGAAAATAACAAAAAAAAATAGAAGAAGAAAAGGAACTTCCGACTTTCTTTGGTACAGGTATAGATATAAAGTGCATTTGCCTCTTACTCTACTATTTAAAAGACTACAATATAAATCTATATCAACAAATAATATAAAACAGATTAAGACAAAGTAAGTATTTCTCTAATTACAAAATTAATCAGTCATCATACTCCGAAATCAAAATGTCATTTTTTTGAGTCTCAAGTAAAAAGTCCAAGAGTGGTTTCCAAATAGAAACAGAGCTAGACAGCCTCTTTTCTTTAATCAAGGTAGTCAATTTTGCCATCTCTGCCAGTCCCATTAATTTCATTATCCATTCTTCTGCTGGAGGTATTTGTAAACCTTTCCATTTTTGCACATATAAAAGTCTCACTGCTCTGGTTCCTTATTCTCAAACTGTGCAAAGAAGCCGGGGTCTCCTCATTCTTGTACCATTGCATTATCAACAAGAGGCATCTAAGTGCATAATCATTATATTCTTTTCATTTACACAAGGCTTCCAATGCCCAGACAGAGTCCTTGATTACCAGCATAACTCTGGCATCAATGATACCAAAATAAATAAAAGCAGCTGCAAACGCACACGGTTTGCCATTCAAATGCCTGCGTTTCCAGTTCAACAGGTACAAAGATCCCATAGCAACATAATTCAACAAATCACTTAACCACACTCTCTCATTCCAATATGCTTTTTATTAAGAAATATGAAAGAGTCACCTGATGAGCATAAATGGTATCATAAATCAAAGTCCAACAGATGCCGGAAATATACAGGGGTAAGCAAACCGACCAATTGCAAGAACCATGAACTGCAGACCAACCCAGTAAGGCTCCCCAATTGAAGACAAAGCCTAAAGGAAATAAAGGAAAACAACTCATGATAATTTTTGGCTAACACACACGCACACACACACACAAGTTGAGAGGCAGCAATACTTCTCCACCCTTATTGCATCCACAGGTAGCTGCCCAGCAGCTTTGTTTAGGGTGACCCGAGCCCTTTTTGGTAAGGACGACTCAGATGTTCACTTACAAGGCCATGTAGAAGAATTTGCACAGCATCTGTCGGACAAAATTGCTCGAAATCATTCCCAGTTAGTCACCAGTCTTGATACAGGTCCAGTGGAGATGCCTGGGGTACAGTCTTGCCCTGTTATCTGGGAACAGTTTGAATCTGTTGGGCCTGAGGAAGTGGACAGGGTCCCCATGATTGTGAGCTCAAACACCTGCTCTTTAGATCCATGCCTCTTCTGGGTAGCTAAGGCTGCCCAGGGGCGGGGGGGTGATGTGTGATTGGTGTGATGGAACGGAATTATGAAGGCCAGGCTCAGGGAGATAAGCGTTTTCTTAGTTCACC